GTCCCGTTATCGGCAGGATACCGACTGCTTCCATTGTCATACGGCACGATAATGTTTTACAATTTTCATTAATTTGTGTCCGTAAAATTATTATTCATTCATTTTTCAAATGCCTATAAAGACTACACAGTTGGTGCGATGGCAAGCTAACTGAGTTCGATTCCTGCACGGAGTAACTCTTCGTGGAGATCCACAAATTGTTATTCCGGGTCTGGCTGTGATGTGTATTGTGTGTGAACTTATGGTTGTATGCGGTTATAACATGGGAAAATTCTAGTGAGGGGTGGGTAATGTTATTTTAAAAATAATAGTGCTATTTTAGAAAGTAATATGATGTTGGTAATTTATTTTGCAAGAAGCTTTAAAACACCCGTCACAAATGAAACATATTTTTACATAAAACAGCATACACTATAAAATCCCTTTTAGTTGGCGTTTTTATCACAAAATAATGTAGACTTTGTTCACGTATGCCAATAAATATTTGTGCCCTTGACACGAGAAATATCGAACCCTGACCTTTCCGTAATTCGATATTACTTTACATCCGCCGCTCAATAATTCCTCATTCATTCTTTTTCGAAAGGGCGTAAGAGTTCAAGTGATTTATTTCAGTAAATCTGAAGATTTCAGCGAATAACTTTTTCAATTAAGATAATTATTTTGACCTGAAAAATCCGTCCACTCAGTTATATCTCGTCTTGAAATTATGGCAGTCTCCAGTCGAGTGTTAGAATGCTGGACTCAGTGTTGCTATTTATAAGTGTTGTTATAAGGCAATTTTAGCATGTGATGTGTATTCTTATTTAAATTCACTTGACTCCAGAATAGTTCGTGTGTTCAATGAAAGTCCAAAATGAAATAGGTAAAATCTTTATGTTTATATTGTTCTAAGTAACACACAATTTACAACTTAATTAATATCGCAAAATATTACTGGTTAACACCAAAGCTGGGAGACGACTGGCGTGCTAACGCTATAGGGTCGCAGGCGCAGCTACGCACATGAGAACAAAAAAATGTCAACACATTAGTGTCGCCACACAATAAAACATGTTAAACTGGTTAATATATAAGGTGCTATATAATTATCTGCCACGGCTTTATTGGGAGGTAGTGTTGTGTTTACAGATTACAATTGTGAAAAAATTTCGTACCCCGGACCAGTTAATTAAATTTGAGAACATAAACAAATTAAGTAAACATTGACTCTATTCTGCATAATGTGGTTCACAAATTACGCGCGATGCGTCGCTTAGTCAATGAAAACAATTGCTATCTCTTTCCACGTGTACTGAGAATGAAAACGGAAATCAGCTGACTAGTTCGTCACTATCTAATCTACTAGATACTCAATAGGCAGGCTAACAAGGGTTTTAAAAGTGCAATTACTTACCAGGTACGGCATTCTTCCGAAAAGCTGATGTAGGTAAATGAAATAATTATATAGCACCTTATATATATATATATATTATGTTTTGTAATAAACGGTTTGCAATTAGGTACTTGTTTTCAAATGGATTAATCAATTTACGATCAGATTTACTCCAATTCAACCTTAATTTTCATAAATATACGGACCTTTCTATGAAACACGTTGGTAAATGAAGCAAGTACTCGTATTTACGAGGTATTTAATTTAAATTGTATTTATCCATAAAACTTTGTTGTATAAAGGAAAAGTACAATATAATAGGTTTTACCTGTGAAATTGCCGTTTTCTATGAAAAATTTTAAACGATTTTTTTCACGTATTTTTAGTTGTAATATATTTTAATTTATACTTTGTCCACAAACAGAGAAACATATTTTTTATGCCTTAAAGAGTGAACTAGTCAGTCAAACTTATAAGATCTACTACCTAAAAAAAGTATAAAAAATATCGTACCGCACCAAACAATGGACACGCCAAAAAATTAACATATTATCATAGTTTTTAGACATTTTGTCCCTCGCTGTCCTCTTTATAGTGCTGTCGAACAAACGGCGGTTATCTGCCGTAACAAGATAGCGGCCCTCCCTCCCCGCCCTCTCAGCCTGAGGGGAGGGCGCGATTTACTGGCTCTTCATGCAGGGAGGAAATTGATTCGTGACTTATTTGCTGAATTCATATCATTTCTATATCGTGAAAGATGTATGATTTAGGTATGTATGGATGCTTTTGTGTTCCCTTTGTACTGCGGTCTGATGTTGCTTTTTGATATTTTCGTGGGTCTTGTTTGCGTGACGGATTTATTTGTAGTTTTTAAAAAGGTGAACGTTTTGTAGTTGTGGAAGGTTTGAAGATTCTGTCGTTTCGGAAACACCATAGAATAGAGTTTTTTATAGGGTAGGTCGGCTTACGAGCGGAAAGATCTCCTGAGGGTAAGAAATCGGTTCCGCCAATGGGCACACGAAACACCAAAGGATTTCATTCCACTGATGTTTAACTGATGCTACTGTAATGGACTATTCCTGTAACGTATAACATTATTTAGACCTAGCAATAAGTTTCCAATCATTATATTACTAGCTTCTGCCCGCGACTTCGTACGCGTAATCCCATTTCTTCCTGTCCCCGTTCGTGATTTTCGGTAAAAAGTAAAAAAAAATTGGTTAAGAAGTATCCTTTGTCGGTCTCCTGGCTCTAAGCTACCTCCCTACCAATTTTCAGCCAAATCTATTCTGCCGTTCTTGAGTTATAAGTGGTGTAACTAACACGACTTTCTTTTATATATATAGATTTAATTGGAAAACATAGATTAGTTTTTATCGCTGAAACCTCACGAGACGGGCACTGTACGGGTAAAACCCCTATGAGGTTGTTTATTTTTGAAACCACTAAAATAAATCAATTTCACACTAAATATTACCTAGGCCCTGAATCGATTCTGATGGCTTTTCTTATAGCCATGGAATATACCTTGGTAAAGACTAATTAATTGGTAAAAACCCAATTTCTGACAGTAGTCAGGTTTTTACACGGACCAAGTCGCGGTTAACAGCTAGTTATTTATAATTGGCGTGTCACTGGAGTGTCTATGTCCAGCAGTGGACGAACTCAAGCTGATGATAATGATGATGAATAAGTTTCCTCAGACTAAGTATGTACCTAATGTTTTGTATACAATAATATTTTTTTTAATATGTGTTCCAGTAAACGAGCTAGAGTACCTACAGTGACGTCCACCAAACATACGCGTGCGACGATTTCAGTTACGCGCATTATGTACATTTTTAATATTAAAACAATGATTAAAATATATGTTAGTTCTACTCGGTTTGTTTTTTGATTAAGTAAATGGATTTAGCGAGGCAGTCTCTAACTCTTTAACTAGATTGTTTATATTTTTAGTATTTTTACAATAAAATAACATAAAGCCTTTTAATCACGGAGTGTTATGCAACGGCAATAGAATGAAAAGATTTTAGATATGGCTACTGAACCACGAAACACTTTTTTTTGTGCCAAGGTGAGAAATCCTCATGGACCCCTAGCCTTTATTTTGTTTTTTTTTAAAGGGAGAAAATCATCCAATTACTTCACCCACCTTGGGTTAGGCGAAAGGGAGTGTCAGACTCTTACTGACTAAAAACCACCCCGTTCCTTCTCCTGCACTTCGAGCCGGAGCCCCGGCAACCCGTTAGGCCTTCCGCGGCTCCGTATCGGGCATCAGCCCTACTGGGCCCCATCTGTAGTGGTCTGATGGCTCTTTGACAGCCTCGTTGCCTGGGGAGGACAAAGAGGATTGTCAGACTCTTATTAACTAAAACCCACTCCCGTCTCACACGTGGGTACGAAGCTGCGGGAGTCACAGAGCCACTAACCACTGGGTTAAAGCACTGACACTAATTTTTATAATATATGAGTATACTATGAGTTTCTAGAGTCGATACAACATGTCAGGATTTATTAAAACTTTTAAAATTTTATTTATTAACTAATCAAAATACAAAGATATTTTGTTTCCGGAATTATTCGTATCTATACGAAATTAGATAAACGTTAACATTTCCTCGTGGATTCTAAAACAATCTTGCGTGATGTTAATTGAATCACTCAATTATAATTAACGTGTTAATATCCAAGACATATCGATTAATATCCGAGCTAATTAACGCTGAGTACGTACCTACGTTATGTGAACACGTCATAAGATCAAGCGCTGACGATCTTTGAAGGTTCTTCCACGATATAGGGGGCTAAATGAAATTGTACGGATCACTTAACATCAACAGCCTAACAAAGGCCTCTCCTCACACGAGAAGGTTTGAGCATTAATCACCATAGTTGCTCAATTCAGGTTGGCGATTACAAACTTATAATTAGAAATTATACACCCAGGTTTCCTCACGATGTCTTCTCATCGTTTGTCAGTGGTGTCTGAATAATCTTAGACAGTACATATAATTTGAAACTGCACCCTCATGCTTACCCGATTGTAAGCGTTGCCTATTGACACTCTTATCCAGAGGAGTTATAAGTACGTTTGTAAATTTGAAAAATTAGAGCAGTAATATTGAGATAGAGCTAGGCAGATCGTAAATGATGGTCGAATCAGATCACAAATTGGGGCATAATATACAAAAAAGATTGGAAAAAGTTTTGAAAAAGAGACGTGGAATTAGATAGTTTATAGAGAATGATAAAGAAAAGAAGAGAACGGTAAGTGGCAAAGTGTCACCACCCCTGTTCTTCCCGCCGGTATAATAAGAGCCAACTAAAGAACTATTTACACAGAAAAATATCGTATTTTAATTAGTCTTTTCCTCCAACCTAATCACCATCTTCACCCGTACACAACTCATTAACATTGTAAACAGCAATATTGACACGGTAATGACGTCACAACCCAGTTTTATCACCTTTCAATCAAAGCATTAATAAAATGCGTGAATAATATCCGTCACACTGGTTTAACGAGATGTTTTTCATCTTACTTTAGTTCTTTCTGGCTCCTAGTTCACTTAGCGGTTATGTTGTGTTAAATTAATTATTATTATTCTTCTTGTTGTGCAGTATGAGTGATATTTATCGTGTTCTTAGTGTTATTTGTGCTTGTTTGGTGTTTCATCTTGTTCACTGTCGAAATGGTAGGTGGTTCTGTTGTTTTTTGTCACAGCTGTTTACTTTATGGAGATAGGAACCTATTCTATAAGTAAACCACTAATTTTTAGGCTCAAAATTACTGAGCATGGAAAGACAAAATAATGTGTATTCCATAAAAGATGTATTCAAATGGGTCAAGAGAGTTTCCCGAAATTCCAGGAGCGGCTGAGAATACACGGCGTCCACACGTAACTGGTTAAGAGTTACTAATTTAAGTGTGGGAGAGCCATGCTTCGGCACGAATGGGCCGGCTCGACCGGAGTGATACCACGGCCTCACAGGAATCCGACGTGAAGCAACGTTTGCGTTGTGTTTCGTCGTGTGAGTGAGGTTACCGGAGGCCCAAATACCCTCCCCTTCCCCAATCTCCCCAATTCCTGAATCCCCAACGATCCTCAAACTCCTAATCCCCAAAAGGCCGGTAACGCACTTGTAATGCCTCTGGTGTTCCCGGTGTCCATGGGCAACGCCGATTGCTTACCATCAGGTGATCCGTCTGCTCGTTTATCGGCTTACGCCATAAAAAAAAGAAAAAGGGTGTTCGCCTACTTCATTGAGCTGCAACCATGCAGAACCAGAAATAGGTGGTACAGCGCAATGACGTTGGTCATCGCACATGCTTGTCATGATCATAGGCCACGGTTTTGGCTTGAAAGTAGTCGAGCATCCTCGTACAGTTACATGAGTGAGCCGGGCCTATCTTCTTATTAATTTTATTAGGTGTAGGAGTATGTATATTGCGGACGAGCACCACAGATGATTTTTTATGCTTATGTACATAAACAGTAATTAAAAACAGATTTAAACTTCAAAACTTGGTCCATCGTACTAATTTTATAATAAATGAGAAAACTTTGTGAGTTTGCGTGCTTGTATGTATGTTTGTTACTGAATTACGTAAAACGGCTGAAGGGATCAGGATGAAATTTGGAATAGAGATAGATTATGGCTTGGAATATAAATCACTACAAAGTATAAAACAAAGTCGCTATCCACCGTCTGTCTGTCCCTATGTATGCTTGGATTTTGATGCAGTTTTTTTTAATAGATAGAGTGATTCTTAAGGAAGGTTTATATGTATAATAAATGCATATTGTACCCGTACGAAGCCGGGGCGGGTCGCTAGTATAAAAATAAATAAATCTTTATTATTACCAAAAAGATCACAGTTTTTACATTTTTAGGACTCTTGCTATATAAGCCAGAGCATAAAGACCCTGATTTCTAAACTAGGAAAAAACCTGTATCTTAGAAGTCAGCACCTTCAAAATTATACTAACTATACGAATAAGGCAATACGATTACAATTTCCTGGATAGGACCATGATAACAGACAAAAAACAATAACACATAGGCTAATTGTTATTCCACACAAGCCACGGGCAGAATCCAGTCTAGTCATAAAATAACATCAAAATCTGTTTTTTATACGCGCGATTCAAACTATACTTGAGTTGTATATTCAATACAAAAACTTAAACCTATATAGTAAACAAACTGTGAAGACTTTGTAAGTTCATTTAATTTGTCTATTTGTTCATTTTTATGAAAGAACTTAAGAATATGAAGATAGTGCCGCCGGCAGCCACTAAGGGACACTACAGTCCCAACAGATTGAGTTCTTTGCAAACACTACAATGAATAAAATGTACAAAGTAACGCCGCCAGCCACTGCTAGTATTGTGCAAGTTGTTGTGAGTTATTTTGTTTCTAAAAGTGTTCTTGCAGTTTAGCTTAAATCTTTAGTGGTATTTTTTTCTCTCTTTAATTCAGAATCTATTAAAAATACATATTACTTAAAGTGTTAATAATATTTTTTAACAAAAAAAAATATATATTACAAATGACTATTTAAAAAAAAAGTTGCTCCACCCTAGGATTTTCTCCTGTATCGTGGGTGCGTTTACAAACATACAAGTTCACATACACATGACACGCCCAGACACGAAAGCACAATTTGTGGATCACAAAGAGTGGCTTCGTGCGTGAATCGAACCTTTTTTTATGGAATAGGAGGCAAACGTGCAGACAGATTACCTGATGGTAAGCGATCAGCGCCGCCCATGGACATCCGCAACACCAGAGAAGTCACAGGTGCATTGCCGGCCTTATGCCGGTCGTATCGGTTCGGAAATACCGTCGACGACAGATCATTCTACAGTTTTGCTGTGCGAGGCAGAAAGCATCGTGAGAAGTGCACAGTTGACTGCCAACCATCTATATGGTGGGGATGTATATTCTGCCGTGAGGGTCGATGGCGAAAAGATGCGGCAGGTATCAGGTCAAACAATTCCTCAGAGCACTCCCCGTGGTATAAGCGATAGAAAATGCACATCTCTAGGCATTGCCTGCTGCACATTGCGCGGCAGTGGATTGCCCAGCCACCACGCCAACCGTGCAGTCAATTTTTCAAATGTGTATTAGTTATCAATCTCACAAACTACAAGCCGAAACTAGAATCTATCTGCCTACACATTTTAGCACTGTGGCTGGGTGATTCCCACGCGGAACATATTTTTTTTAAATGATCCACATATTGTTGTTCCATGTTTGGCTATGATGTAATGTAATGTGAACATATGTATGTGAAAAATCATAATGTAAGTGTCGTGGTGACCCGGAGGTTAAGACGCCCATTTCCCATGCATGAGGATGCGTATTCGAAACCTACCAACGGCAAGTACCAGTGTGACTTTTTCCGAGTTGTATGTACTTTCTAAGATTATTTAGACACCACTAACAAACGGTGAAGGAAAACATCGTGAGGTAACCTGGACTTATGATTTTTAATTATAAGTTTGAAATCGCCGACCCACATTGAGTAAGCGTGGTGATTAATGCTCAAACCTTCTACGTGTGAGAAGAGGCTTTACTCAGCAGTGGGCATTTATAGGATGTTGATGATGGATACCTACTTTAAAAAAATCATAATTTCGTATCTTTGCTGCGTAAATTAACCAACTTCACGGAAGACGTTTCACTTAAACTTACGATTCAAATCCACGACCCACAATAATTAGACAATTCCGCAAAACTAATTATAATTAAATTATTTAGTCTGTTATGATATTTAATGGAGAAACAATATAAAGCTGAAACGTAAGAAAATGGAACATAAATAATGAACTGTTTTTAATTCATATAAAATTAATTATTTCATCTTAATACCCTGTAATTAAAATATAGTTAATTGGATTTAAATCAGAACAAATTTATTATCACTATGAGAGTCCATTAACTCTGGCCATTCAAATAATAACATTTCAAACTATAATGAATCGAATAAACTGTGTTAAAACTGAGTTCATGCAGAATAGAGTAGACGGATCACCTGATCACGGTAAGCAATCGACATCGCCCATGGATAGGTATCCATCAGTAACACCAGAGGTGTTACAAGTGCGTTACTGACCTTCTGAGCCTTCTTCAGATTCTGATTAGGAATTTGAGGTTTGTTGGAGATTCAGGGTTTGGGGAGATTGGGGAAGCACAGCACAGCACAGCTATTATCCCAGCTGTTCCGCAACGTCACAATTTTGAATTCTGTACAAAATCACTCTTCATTTATTCCAAAATTTAACGAAATATGTATAAATTATATTTTATTTATCGACTTCAAACAGATGGACGTTCTCCGTATGACCTGTGTATATGTTTGTGTTGTGCGTAATTACCTCGCGATTAGATGAACCAATTTTGATGCAGTTTTCTAAAAAGTGTTTGTTACAATTAGGAGAAGGTTTTAGTATATTATTTAACCGCTTTAAAAAAGGGGGTGTTGAAGTCGATATTTTTAAATGTAGTTAATAAAAGAATTGTTATTGAAACATTAATCGATAGCTGATATAACTATAGACATTTTTTTGTTACAAACTGAAAAAAAAACAATTGTCATGTTCGGTACAAACAGTCTAGAGCTACATAAAGTACATTTTATGTAACATTTTTTGGAAAGGACCGATATAAAATTCACTTAAAGAAAATATACTTAAAAAATAATTGTCCGAAATAAAATCTTAGAACACGCATCATTACCATCCAATTTAAGTTAAGTACGTACTTTACGAGGCATACTGTCCACATCCACATCTTAACTTAACCATAACTTGATCCCTAAGTTATTGCCCGCCGCAACTTTAAATGATACTTACGTGCCTCCTCAACTTACATGTACACTCAGCCAACTTATTTGGTGTACAGGGAAAGCTCGGCTGCGCGGCGGTTTATCCTTGAAGGGGTAGGTAGAGGTGCAAATTACGACACTTAATGTCACTGTACAATGCAACACCCACTTTCACTATTAATCTTATGAGTCCTATGTAATAGCAGGACAGCCTGCCAAATACCGGGTACAATTCCAGACCCCGTGCTGCTACTGAATTTTTTTTTAAAACCCAGTAATACTTTGCCGGAGCCAGGAATTGAAGATCCCTTGCCCAGCAGTCATAGTTTCGGTCACTCAGCCAACGAGGTAATAACCATTGTGTTGGTGTATTAAATTGCAAGCTCAGTAATTGGCCTGCATTCGAGGTACCCATTAGTTCCTGTCTCTGAATCAACCTTTTATTCTCACCTGCATACTTAATAAGTACGCTGACTGTACGTGTGCCTACGTAGTAACGTGTATCTAAGTTAAGGTGTACTTGAACTTTCACTTATCCTGGTAAACGTTTGGCGTATAGAACGCGATGCTTAAACTTAGAAGCGGAATAAGTTACGAAGTATTTTCATCAAAATAGTTTTGTTTCTGTTTTGTTGTTATTTTATTATTTTCTAGTAGTGGGTTTTTTAAAAAGAATTCTCAGTAGTAGCACGGAGTTTGGAATTGTGCCCGGTGTATGGCAATAGGCTCACCCCCTATTACATGGGACTCATAACATAAATAGTATTACATTTTAACCATAATTTTACCGTAATGTAATTGTTGCCGCGATGTTATGTAATTATTTTGTAGATATGGTTTCTATAAATTCTACTGTAAGGCATTTGTACACGTGTTCGTTTTGTCGAATTTTAATGCTATTACTTCCTCAATAGTTATGCTATTCATTTATGAGCAAAACTTGAGAAAGAGTCTTTTAATTAGGTTTTAGATTTATTTTAATATGCGTCTGCTCGTTTGCGTCCAATTTCATAAAAAAAATATCTTTTGAAGACAATATTTCAGGATCAATTAACTTTCCTTTGGTTCATTAATTATGGCTAAAGTTTCATATTTATATCCTTAAAGAGTTCTTTTAAAATTCTTTCATGTCTTCAAAAGTTTTACATTATTACTAAACCATGCACAAATTGCATAGACACTTCCTGTTTTATAATAAACTAGCTACTATCGCGCGGTTTCACACGATCTGCTCAGCTCCTATTAGTCACAGCGTGATGTATTATAACCTTTCTCGATAAATGCACTATCCAACACAAAAAGAATTATTCAAATCAGACTTGTAGTTACGGAGATTAGCGCGTTTAAACAAACAAACAAAAAAAACAAACTCTTCCGCTTTATAGAGGTATAATAGTATAAGATGCTATTGCCGCGCGGTTTCACCCGCTCTGCTCGACTCCTATTGTTCGCAGCGTGATGTTTTATAACCTATAGCCTTTCTAGATAAATGCACTATCTATCACAAAAAGAGTTATTCAAATGGGACCTGTAGTTCCGTAGATAAGCACGTTCAAAAAACAAACAGACAAATAATTAAGTAAAAACGCGGGTTACTCACGTGAATATACTGAGAAAAGCTCTACTAGTTTCGAACTACAGAGGGGTTCTTCCTCATGAGCAGCGTGCACGGTTGCGGCGACGTCGCGCAGCTCACTGGCTGGCGTCTTCGGTGTTGCCACTTGCGCTGCGACCCCAACGCGCCCTCTGTCGTACACTACGAGCGTTTGCTTCCAACTCCGGCGGCGCGTTGGACGATGTTAAAGCACACGGTACGTTCACCAGTGGCGCAGGTCGTGGATTCGATTCCGGGTTCGGCACAAAGTCAGTGTTGCATATAACGCTTACTGTGTCACACTCATGAGGAAGAACCCCTCTGTGGTTCGAAACTAGTAGAGCTTTTCTCAGTATATTCACGTGAGTAACCCGCGTTTTTACTTAATTTAGTATGTTTCACGATAGTTACTATAAAAACAAAACAGACAAATAAGCAGACAAACAAACTCTTCAGCTTTATGTAATAGTGTAATATTATTATCTCCCCCCGCTCCCGCTCCGTTTACAGTGTAACACTCACCTTACAGTCAATATCTATGGCGTTGCGTAAGGAATGATAATGTCCACGTTTGAATGAATAACCTCCAATGGAAATGAGAGTGCTTTTACATTGATCTGTGATCCGTCTTCTTGCTGTGGTGTAATACTGCGGGGTAAATGTAAAAAAAACTTTGATATTTTGAAGAAGTCTATAGTTTGTGTTCCTGGAGTGATAGACAGACAACGCTTTGGTACTTCTAGTTGTTAAATACTATAGCTTAAGCATAAGCGTAAGACGGAGTACTAAAATAAATCTTCCAGATATTTTATAAAGGAAAAATATACCAGATTTTTATATGTCATTGTCATTCTGGGAATAAATAGGTATTTTAATTAGGAAATAGGTTCAAACTAGGGTACTTCTTCAAATAACCAAACTTTTACATCGCAAATGATATCTACTAGACCTATCGATCCATCCTCAATCGATCCCATCGGTCGATGTTTATCGATTGGTAGCTTTAATTGATCAACGGATTCCGATTCACTAACCAATCGAGCGGTTGCCGGTCGATGGCATCGGTCGACGTTGATCGGACGGTCAATGGGTGACAGTAGGGAGCTAAAGCAGCTCAATCGACGTCGACTTATTCATTCTACCATGGATTGATCCATTGGCGTGGCAACACCCTTAGTCAATTACATTCTTTTCCCCAGTGACATACGTAGGCCGGTTGACACCAGACTGCGTGTCCAGCTACCATAGGATCATACTCTCAAGACGAGTGCCTCCTCGAACCTACCTGTACTTCCACGAGGCCATGACACAGGACCAGATGAACAGAGATGGAGAAGAACCGAAAGAAGAGGATACGGTTGGACAAGTTGATGTAAGATTACGTATATATCTATAAGAAAACGGATAACAGATTTTTATTCTGTATTCTCTTAACATTTTATATTTAATTTTGATTTCGATGGCATCCGAAAATTTTGTAGATTCCTTACATTTTTTAAATTTTCTATGATAGACATTATATGGGGTCTATAATATCTTTATGGTCATTTTTAGGATGGCTTAAAATGACTTACAATCTGAAAAGTACCAAATTATAAACCCATACTACAGCCTATTGGTCGAAGTCGCTTCACCATCATAATATTGATTTATTGATTTCAAAAATCCTTTTTTCTCGTCCATCCTTCAGCTCCAATGGAGGATAGTGGGAGGCAAACAGGTCTCCATAAAACTGGTTCCCTATCAAGTTCTCTACGGCATGTACTGCGGAGGCACTCTCATCGCTCCGGACTGGGTCATCACTGCTGCGCATTGTAAGTGAGTACAAGAACGTATTTAGTACCTACTTCATCATAATTTGTACATATTCATGATACATGTGTATTTATAGAAAGTCATTCTACCCGGCATTATGAGGATCATAAATGATATTATCAACATGCTTTGTCGAGAGAGCAAAACTGTTTATCAAAGGCTTTTTTTAATGGGGGAAAATCATCGAATGTCATCTCCCGCCTGGGTGAGGCGAGAGACAGTGTCAGACTCTTACTGACTAAAAACCACCCCGTTCCTACTCCTGCACTTCGAGCCGGAACCCCGGCAACCTGTTAAGTTCTCCGGATTCTGCTTCGTATCGGCATCAGTCCTATTGGTCCCCATCCGTGGTGGTCTGATGGCTCTTCGATCGGATCTGGTTCTGGTCAGGCAGCAAACTATCCATGCTCGTCGTTAGCAGGCCCGTATTTCGGATTATCAAAGGCATAGTAGGTGATTTTGGTGTTACCAAAACCACATCAGATATTTTTCTCCCACACTTTGTATCACATACAAACCATAACACTTGAGAACTTTCTTTTGTATAGCTTCTACCTCTTCTCAAAATCTTCTATTATCTAATTACAGGGACAAAGAAAAATTCATCTTAGCTGGATCTACACAGCGGAGTCAGGCCACCAAGTATATGATCTGTGCCCACTTCATGCATCCCCTATGGAACACTACGCACCTTCACACCCACGATTATGATTACCAGCTGGTCCTGCTGGAGCAGTCAGTACCAGTGACTCCCAACTCCCGGCCCATAGCTATAGGGAACGTGGATGATGTTAGAGAAGGAGAGATGATCACAGTCAGTGGTTGGGGACATACTAAGTACAAGGTAATATAGAATTTTCTATTAGACTGGAGTGATATTACGGCCTCACAGGAAACTGGCACGAAACACTGTTAACGTTGTATGAATGAGGTTACCGGAGGCATCATTCTACCTCTCTCTTCAATCCACAAAGGCCGGTAATGCACTTGCAGCTCGTAAGCTTTACACGTGTAACGTCAGGTGATCCGTCTACTCGTTTGTCAACCTATCCCATTTCCAACACACCGACGGAGTTTCTTACTAGTATCTAATTCCCCACTCGAATTAACTATTTGCATTATAAAGATTTAGAATGAATGTCTTAATTTTAGCAACGTGTGATGCAAGACATAGTGCGTCGAGTCCGTGTGCCGGTGATGGCGCATGAGGTCTGCCGGTCTCTCCCCCTCATGAACTACAAAACCATCACTCCGAGGATGTTCTGCGGTGGATACCTGAATGGAAGCAAGGATTCTTGTCAGGTAATGATTACTTAGGTTGGTTTAAAAAAGAGAGGCTGTTGAAAATGTATCACAATGTTTAGACATACATACTGTAGACACAGTATACTCCTTATTTATTGACCGTAAAGTGTCACCATCACTAGTCTTATCGTGGTTTTCGTAAGAGCTGACTAAGGGATGGAGACCGTGCAGCACCGCTCTCTAATAAAGCTGATTTTTTTACCGGCAAACCTTTTTTTATTGGAGGAGCCTACTAATATACTAATACATATAGGCAGCTAATATACTATATTATCTAATACATATAGGCAGCTACTAGACGTAACTTACATAAGAGATATGATAGTCTTTAAAACGCATTGTACCATTAGTAATTACTGTTTCGTGTTCCCAGGGTGACTCCGGAGGTCCAGCGATTCTCCACGGCAAACTAGTAGGGCTGGTGTCCTTCGGAGTAGGATGTGCGATGAAGGACCAGCCAGGAGTGTACAGCAACATACCACTGGTGCGCAACTGGATACGGCAGGTCACTGGCCTGCCACTCTGAGTCATACGCTCTAAGTACTTAGTTCATTTTTGTTTTACGTTAATGTGATCGACAAGTTTATGACGTTCAGCGTTCTGATTGGCTGCTCCAAGTCACCTAACCAATCAAATGGCTTAGCGAGGTAACATTTCGATCGCTTTGACGTAAAATAAATTCACATTAGGTACTCTGGTCGTTCTCTTCTGGTCTTGTTTTCTTTGCAAATATATTTTGTTAGGTTTTTTTAGTTTAGTTGTTTTATTTTACATTTGGCAATGATGCTACCTTTTTGAAATAAAGATGTTAAGAGATAATAGGATGATCTGCTCAATTTGTCTTAATTGGTATAGATAGTTGGAGCTGCTTTATGGAATAAAATCATTAATATTGTATACAAGTCTATTGTCATCTTTTCCACAATTTTGCTCTAAGTGGTTTCTAGTGTAAACTGCTACAAAATATTTCGACTACAATCAAGTACCATGCATTCAAATACCGTACCCCATCGATGAGACGAAACCTTTGAAAAAAACACGCACGCAGTCGTAACATTATACCTTCCGCACATAAATACATAAAAAGCTCTCGAATTATTTATATCTGTTTGTGCGTCAGATTGACGGGAAGATGGCTCTGTACTCGTTCGGGGACGGTTGCAAAAACATGGTAGGGCTCATCAATCTTCTACAAGTCGTAAGAGTTAACTGAGCGAAATGGAACGCCAGGGTAGAGAGCACAGGGTACGCCTCGTAAAACTACGCCAAGGTCGATCCCATTATTGTTGGAGGAAGGTGGCTTTCTTGACAGAAATGACCATTAATGGTTTGTTGGGGATTATTTCGATGGCTTCTAGGCGTTTTGACCTATTTAAGGATGCGAGGGTGGACGACGGACGTGTACAAACTGACTTCGTAATGAGCAGTGTGGCAACAGGCTATTTGGTTATTATCAGCAACAAACTCTGAGGAAAAGTGTGAAATGAAACGAGGTAGGTAACTACCCAAATATAAATAAGAAATGAACATAAACAATAAAATGTGGTCGTAATAGAAGTTTCATCCCAGAGAACAAAAAATAACTGATAAAACATTTAGTGTTCCAGAAAAAATACAACACAACTCACACATTGCTTGTCAGTCACATCCCTGACGATCTCGAAAAAATGTCCTGAAGCAAAGAATTGAACGTTTACTCATAAAAAATACGGCGAAATACTTCTAGGAATCTAGTCTGGAATGGTAGTTAAATAGAGTTGGCAAGCCACAGTCAATTCCGCTCACACTTGGTGCCCAAACAACGATCACGAGTTGATTTTTCGCATTACATTCTACATTCACATATTCAGGAGTAGCACCATGCCGTGGAGGGGGGGAGATAGTTGGAGAAGATATACGGGTGAATATTGTGAGCGGTAACGGTAGCGTTCTGCGGTAGCTGCCTATCTGATGGTAAGTGGTCATCATAGTCTATCGTATGTCCCTAACACAAATGTCTTTACGAGAGCGTTGTTAGAACTTGCTTGTTCCCAAAAAAAGAAATTGTCGCATGTAAAATGGACTTGACATTAGATAACTGTGGGAGAATCATGCTTCGGCACGAATGGGCCGGCTCGGCCGGAGTGATACCACGGCCTCACAGAAAACCGACGTGAACCGTTTCGTCGTATGAGTGAGGTTACAGGAGGCCCAATTATCCTCCTCTTCCCCAATCTCCCCAATTCCTGAATCCCTAACGATCCTCAAACTCCTTATCCCCAAAAGGCCGGTAACGCACTTATAACGCCTCTGGTGTTCCAGGTGTCAATGGGTGACGCCGATTGCTTACCATCAGGTGATCCGTCTGATCGTTCACCAGCTTATGCCATAAAAAAATTACAACTGTCACTTACTGGACAAAACGTTCTTGGTTCTTCCAAAAAAAGCGATCAGCAATAAATGACTTTATCTCTATATTATTATTAGAATGACTACAATAACTACAATTAGTTCATCGTCATCATCATCATCAACAGCCTATAATTTATTAATCACCTCGCTTGCTCAATGCGGGTTGGCGATTTCAAACTTATAATTAGAAAAACTTTCCTCACGATGTTTTTCCTTCACCGTTTGTTAGTGGTGTCTAAATAATCTTAGAAAGTACATATAACTGGGAAAAAGTCACATTGGTACTTGCCGTTGGTAGGTTTCGAACCCGCACCCTCATGCATGAGAAGTGGGCGTCTTAAACCTCCGGGCCACCACGACACATGACACAATTAGTTACAAATATTTTATCAACAATATTTTCCATCTTATTTTTAGAAACCAATTACAATAATGACATGACGAATGTTCATGTGGTATATACCTATGTGAAAATAATGATTTACATATTTTTTGTAGATTTATATTAATATCAGTTACGTTCTAGTCTAGATAGTACTTTTTATATTCACTATTAATTCTAAAGCATTTCAAAGCTACCTTCTCCACAGCTCCTCTTCCACATTCCGCACCCTAAGCGTCTCCTCTCCAACTTACGACCCGTACACACCGCCCCCTATCTGCATTCAGTCAGCATCGTCGCGAGTGTTTTCCGACCGTTTTCGCAGCGCTTCGCAACGCTTCGCAAGAGGATGGTCCATGATTTATTTACACAGGGATGCTGCACGCGTGACATCTCTCTCGAGCTCTTATTTATGTGCGTCCTACGTCCTGATTTGACAACGTACCGTCTTGAAATATCGTTGGATTGTGTTCTGGCGTTCAAAACAGATGTATTTCAGTTTGTTAAGTCCCTTTTTTAGGTTTGTGTTATAGGTAAATAAGTTGATTAATTGAAATACACGGTTTACTAATGCGAAATAATGGATAGAAGCTCTTTTAAATCATTAATAGCTAGTTAATTAGTTTTGTTTATTTACATTATATAATACACAACTAAATTTATTGGCTTATAATTATTAAGTACTAATTAATTTTGTACATTTTCTGTTAGTTGATTTAATTTAATTTATTAACTGAAATCCATTTGGTTAGTAAATAAAACAAAAACTTATAAAACTAGTGTTAGTATGTACTTAAAATTACCAGGTACAATTAAATCATAACTGTCTTACACTGCAATAGCATGCAGGCGTATCCAATGCACGGTTGGTGTGGTGGCTGGGCAACCGGCTACCCTGCAACGTGTCGCGGGTTCGATTCCCGCATGGAACAACACTTTGTGTGATCCACAAATTTTTGTTTCGGGTCTGGGTGTCTGGGTGTCTGAGTATATGGCTGTCCTATTTGTCTGCTATAGTTTTCAGGATGCTATTGGAGCTGACACGCACCCCATGCATAATTAAAGCATAACGTTTTCGTATGAGATAGTATTGAGATAGTAGTGAATAATTTATATATAAAGTTCACCCATATTTATTGACCAATCATAAAAATAATACATTACATTCAACCATTTTAGTTACATCACGTTACTTTAGCTTATTTCTCAGTAAAACTAAATTGGATGTATCTTCATTATTATTGCTTATTTATAATGTACCGAAGCGGAACACTATTTTATTTATAGAAAGGAATTGGTTTCCCTTTCCTTTCCACAGATCGAATAGAAATATTTTTCCTTAATGACCGAGTGAAGCCCACATACTGTCTCATAACAAAAACAAATACGTTTGTAAATACTTTTATTGAACTATAATCGGATAACAATAATCGTAAGTATACATTAAAGATTAGATTTACTACAGCCGGAAACCCTAAGTACATTGTTTTGCAAAAATATTGAAGGAAATCATCACGAAACGTTTGTCACATAAATAAATCTGTCGCAATCCAATATGAAATATGAGCGCTCTCCCCTAGCCACCCTTTCAATAAGAAATCGTAGAAAAACAAAATACTTATCGTGGGCCCGGTATGGACATTAAACCATCCAATACTGTTACCGCCGGTATTTCCCCTGGGCTCCCTACCCTGCCTCTTCCCTGGCTAAATTAAAAACTTTGCCATAATAATGACGATCACTTCATTCCCCTGCCGACTCTTTTTCATTAATACTCTCTTATTGGTTTTCTGATTTCCTGTTGTTTTTTATATCTTTGCTATTTTTGTATTAAAGTGAGTTAGCATGCAAGATAATATGAGCATGTGTGTTTGTTAATTAAATATGTATATACGGAATTATCTTTACATATTTTTCTACTTAAATTCAATTATTTTGAACTTGAAAATATAACAAACCTGCTCCATGATTTATTTATCACCAACTGTGTAATACTTGGCAGCAGGACACAGTGTCATGCATCTCCTTACTTATCATACGGGTCACGTACGCAAAAGATCTCAAGAGGTATACTTCAAAAACGCGTGTCAGCTTTTCATCATGGCTGCCATGGCGTATTGTGCAGCGGGAACTGTCCACCTTTTAGGGAAAACAATGTGCCCTCTCCCTGATATCATAATATTAAATTACTTTTGTGAACCTCTGACGCAAATAGGCCGAGCGGTCACCATTCTGTTCGTCTATTGTTTTGCATTATTTAGCCTACTTTTAACGTTGTTTTCTGACCCAGTTCTTGCTAGTCCTGTCTTTATGCAGATCCTTGTGTAATATAGAGCTGTTAACACTTCATTTTGTGATGAGAACTTAGGGTGTAACATGAAGTTGGAGTTTTGTGAAATTAATTGTATTATGTTCTATTGAATCATGCTAATTGCTATGAAGTAGTCTAAAGTTTATAGGTATTAAAATTAAACACTACCAATTTACAATTAATAACAACATAACATCACGCCTTTTATTCTCGGAGAGGTAGGCAGAAGTGCACATTACGGCACTTAGTGCCACTGTACAATGAAACACCCACTTTCACTGTTTATGTTATAAGTCCCATGTAATAGGGGGTGAGCCTATTGCCATATACCGGGCACGAGTCCAGGCTCCGTGCTACTACTGGGAATTTTTTAACCGAGTAATACTTTGCCCGACCCGGGAATCGAACTCGTCCAACGAGGCATTCATACATCAATATCTCC